ATTCTTTATTTAGCACTAAGACAATAGCTGTCAGGATTCTTTATTTGGCACTAAGACAATAGCTGTTAGGGTTCTTTATTTGGCACTAAGACAATAGTTGTCAGGATTCTTTATTTGGCACTAAGACAATAGCTGCTAGGGTTCTTTATTTGGAACTAAGACAATAGTTGTTAGGGTTCTTTATTTGGCACTAATTCCATAGCTGATATGGTTCATTTATCGGGTACTAAATCCATAACTACCAAGGTTCATCTATACAATACTAAATCTATAGCTACCGAGGTTTATCTTTACAGTACTAAATCCATAGCTACCAAGGTTTATCTTTAGCATCATCCTCAAACGCATCCTTCATCACACACCAACTATTTTGTCTACCCATGTTCTACCCAACATATTTGTAGATATAAAATACATATACAGTTTAACTCATTTAAAACATATATAAAACATCCATTCTACACTCATCTCAAATAAACAACAATATATAAACACATAACACATATTTCATAACAAATACTTCATATTTATGTGTTAGAAAAAAGTGACTACACACTCACACAAAACATATACTTAGTACATTCAAATAATACTTGTATTAAAATCGTGTTATGAAAGGGACTATACACTCACACCTATAAATAACAATATATATACACATAACATGTATTTTATAAAATACTTCATATCTATGTGTAAGATGAAAGTGACTATACACTCACTTGATCAGAATATGATCGGACAGCACTACGGCTTGTAAAAGTAGTATTCTTCGGTAGATCTGGAAGATCTTCACACACTAGGCTTCTCGCAGGCAGAGCTTCAGCTCGGAAACTCTTTTCTTCTAGAGATCTCCGGGCTTCGGGACTTGCTTCAGGTCTCGGGATGATACCGGGGCTTCGGGGGGTTAAAATAGGGCTTAGAGAGAGTATCGGGAGTGGGAGAGATGAGAAGGGGCAACCAAAATCGATTGACCCTCGATTTCTATTTATAGGGTGAATTTTTTGGGTTCACCTCGTGAGTTTCTAATATTCACGTCGTGAGCTAGGCTTACCTCGTGAGCTACATATGCTCACCTCGTCAGCTCGATACGTCATTGCGTTCGTTATAGCCACTTGCCCTGGAAGATGACCATCATTTGTTCACCTCGTGAGCCACTAATGCTCACCTCGTGAACTACATATGTTCACCTCGTGAGTTCTGACACAACCTTGGGGTTTACGTCCCGAACCTCATAAATTCATAACTTTCGCATACGAGCTCCGTTTTTGACCTTCTTTATATCCACGCGTAGGTGAGGTTATGCTCTACAACTCTCGTTTAGACCCCGTTGGCTAATTTTGACTTTATTTTTAATATATTATAAATATATTATTTTTAGTAGGCCGGGACAGGAAAACTATGTTCAAAATTCATAACTCCTTCATATGAACTCCGTTTTCGTATGTCTTTTTATCGTTACACTACTATTAATGAGATCTTCGATTCTCATTTAGGCTGTGTCGGCTAAAAACCGCTTGATCTAATATTCGAATTTCGAGCTGCATACTACTAATGCTGAAACTTCGAAAAAATCATAACTTCCTCATACGAAGTCAGATTTAGACATTCTTTTTATGTACGCTCTCGGTTTAATGCATTCTACAACTTTCATTTAGATCGCTAAGGCCAAAAATTGCTCTAACGTAAATTCACTATTTACATCGTGATGTGTCGTGTCGGTTTTGTCGTGAAACTTCGACAGGTTATAATTTCTTCATTGTAACTCGGATTTCAGTGTTCTTTATATGTACGGGATCCTTGTAACATATACTACAACTTAGTTAAAATTACCCCTTCTAAATAATCTTCCATCAAAAAGTCATTTTTATGCTTATCGTCTCTAAATTGAATAGCCCAGTTCTACGGGCGTTACACACACCCTGCAGCCTAAAGTGTCATCTCCCCGTTTCGTAGGGAACGTATGTGAGAATTTTGTTTACTATGTTCTAGTTAAAGAAAATAAAAGTAATACTATTAATCATTTTATTGTTTTGTGAGAACTGTTTGGGGAGACCAAAGTTGCCCACGTATGAAAAAGTAGGGATTAAATTTGCGAATTTTCTACTGAGTAGGGACTATTGTGTAATTTTCTAAACATATGGACCGATTCTATAAAAAAATTCCACAACGACATTTTCTATAAATTACACAGACAATTTTTGTAATTATTTTAAACATATGGACCGTTTCTGTAAAAAATACACAAGGACATTTTCTGTAAATTACAAGGACAATCATTGAAATTTATTTTCTACACAGGGGTGAAACTTGCCAACATACAAAAAGCTTAAATATATGGAGTATTTTTGTAAGAAATAAAATTTACACGGACCTTTTATATAAATTAAAAATTATAAGGACTAAATCTATCAAAATCTAAAACGTTTATGGCATAACTCCAAAAGTAGAAGACATTAGTGATCATAAGGCCATTGTTTTTTATTATATAAAGTAACCACAAAATTAATTCTTAATTAATTCTTGACTAATATTAATTAAACATTATGATTTCTTCTTTAATATATTATTCTTATAATATATTAATAAATCATAATTAAACCTTTCTCTCCTTAATTCATCCTACATATTGTTATGGTAAAGGCAACCCAAAAGGACCATGCTCATAATCGGGTCAAGTACATATCAAAATAGTTATGGACTTAGACACTAATCCAACAGGTTTTTGAGAATAAGGTTATTTACGATTTATTAATATGTTATAAGTATAATATATTAATATGGTTATTTAATTAGTATTGTCCAAGAATTAATTTGGAATTAATTTTGTGGTCAAAAGAGACTAATTAAATATGGAGGGATTGATTGTGTAAATCAATGATACTTATAGTATGGGCTAACTGATCCATGATTATGTAAGTGAGCTAAACCAATAATATAACCCATGGATAGTCCATGGAGGTTAAACCCATGGATCATAGGAATGTGGAAATTCATGGATGATTAGGGTTTACAAAGTGTAACCCTAGCACTTGCCATAACTATAAATAGGCCCCTCCATGCACCAAAATTCATTGCACCTTTAAAAGAGACAAATAACTTATTCTCTTAGAACCACCTTTTGCATATTGGTATTTGTGAACCATTAGAGGCATCACACTTGAGGTGCTCAAGCTTTCAAAGGTCAATTCTTTATAAAAATAAAATGCATGTATAATTAGAGAAAACATTGATCCAAAGCATTTAGGGTTGTATGTATCCTAACTATGTTTTGATTATATATAGCTTCAATTGTATGCTAGCTAGGGTGAATTCTTTATAAAAATAAAATGCATGTATAATTAGAGAAAACATTGATCCAAAGCATTTAGGGTTGTATGTGCACTTAGGAAGTGTTATAGTGCTCAAAACCCAACACTTCAGACATCAGAGCTTATTCAACGGATTAGGCAGAGATTGCAGACAACTTAGAGTTTGTAGAAAAGTTATGTAGACAAGCGTCGGTCTGAGCTGGAGTTCCAGGTCGGAGATATGGTTTTACTAAAAGAATCACCCTGGAATGGTGTAATACACTTTAGGAAGAGGGGCAAGTTGGGAACCCAATATATTGGGCTGTTTCAAGTGATTTCCAGGGTAGGAAGGGTAGCCTATCGATTAGATTTTCTAGAGGAACTTAGTCAGATTCACAACACCTTCCACGTCTCTTATTTACGGAAGTGTATAGTTAATGATTCAACAGTGATTCCTTTATATGATATTCATGTTGATGATTGTCTGAATTATGTTGAGAGATCAGTAGAGATTTTGTATAGGAAATCGAAGTCCTTGCTCAACAAGGTGGCATCTTTGGTCAAGGTCCAGTGGCAGCATCGGAAGGGTTCCAAATGGACTTGGGAACCTGAGGTGGAGATGCAAGAGCACTACCCTGAGTTATATATAAAATGCACATTTATAATTTTCATCACTTTTTCGTATTTTTTTGACCGGCTTAAACTTTGTTTGTTAAGTTATTTTTGGACAAATCAATGCTTCTTTATACACTTGAAATGTTGATTTTTGTTATTTATATTTTACCAAGAACCAAACAAATAACCTCAAAACCAATTTACCAAAACCTTATTTGGTTCGGTTTTAGTTAATATTTTAGAAGTAAAAGAATTGATTAAATTAAATTGAATAAATAGAAAACCAATTAAAATGACAAATAAACTCTTACATACATCGATAACATAGTCTAATAGTAACCTCCATCCCTTTTTTGGTAACTTGTTATATCCTCTTTCGTTTATTTTTATATTATAAAATAAAGAAGAATAAAATTAAAAAAATATGTTTTCTTTTATGTTTTATGTGTTAGACGAACGGTTTAAAAAAAAATTATTTCTTATTATGGTGCAACTGATTTAGATTATACACTAGAGATGGTGTGGTGGTATTGGTTTTACAAGATTTAACCAAAAAAAGTCTCAAGTTCTCATGTAAATATTTGTTCTTAAAAAAAAATTAATTTTATTTGGATTTAGTTTATTGCATTTTTGTACACAAGTTATCATCTAACTTTTTGAAATTATTCAAATTTTACCTTTATCACTTGCAATCACAAGTGTAAAATACAAACAACTTCAACACCTTTGATAGTATACGGTGTATAAAAAACAAATAAATATAAACAAAATCAATACTTTATTATCCGAGTCATTTTCTCTATCTTCTATCAAAAAAAAATTATTATTTACATATATCTTTACAAGAAACACATATGAATCCTCCATATTTGAATCTGTATTCCGTAACAATAAAATATGACCACACAAACATATTTAAAAGAAATGTCAACATTATTATCTGTGCTATTAAATTTTATAAGTTTCATTATATTATTCAAAACATCTAAAATTTATAAATCACATAAAACATATGTTTCTCACGAATCACATCGTCTCAAAATATCCTGCTCCACTGTCTAAAAGAAGGAAAAAATAAAATAAAACGAGCAATTCATGGCTTTTGTTCGCAGGTATCTCTGTATTTACAAAAAAACCCCATTTTGCCCTTTTACTCTATATTTATATTTTTATATAATAAAGCTCTAGATGTGCAGTGTGGTTGCCTTATTCAATCCTCTCTCACTTCCATTTTCCTTCTCCCTCTTCCCACTGTCTCTATCTAAAACCCTTCCCAAGTTTCATGCATTCTTGTATTCGACTAAGCACCCTTAAAACATGCTGTCTTCTTCTACTCGTTTAGTCAAAATCTTGATAATGAAGACAGAATCTATCATTTTCTGCTAAATCTACGTGTATATCATGAGTAATTGAAGTCGAAGAGGCTATCAGCTGATTGGGGATACATACCAAATTTCCAAATTTCTAAATCCGATTCTGATTCATCAGGTCAGCTCAATGTCCGAACTCTCTGTCTTGTGGGTGCTTGTTAGTTCATGGAAAATTTGCAAAAACTTAAGAAATTTAAGGGTTCGAAACATTGTTTTTGTGACTTATCTTAAACATAACCACATATATAATACTGTTTATGTGGTTTTCTCTTTTGGGTTATTGAGAAATCGTAGAAAGTTTCTGATTTTCTTCTATATGTGTTTTACAGGACCAGATTTTAAATTGTTTATGCGTGTTTGTGTGAATTTGTTGGATTATTTTAAATTTGAAAGAGACATTTACTAAAGTAAAGTATTTCATTATTGAACGCGGATTTGAACTCAAAAGACTTAATAAATCACTATTAAAATGACTTTTTGCATTTGGTAGTCGAAGCATACCTGTTATTTCATTGGTCAATATCCAACGGTTGGATTTGAAATTAATGATATTTTATTATGGTCAAGAAGTTCCAATAGGTGTTCTTATATTTTTGCTGAAGAATCAATTAGGGTTTAGTTTTGGGGGAAGATTTAGTACTTTTGTATGTTAAGGATTGTATGCCAATTTCTGACAATAAAAGTGGGAATCTTCTTTCTTTTCTATTTATGACAGAATGAGAGTGTAATTCTCAAGTTTTTGAGAAACAATTTACGAATTTTCTCGAATTATTTATCTGGGTTTGTTGCAGAAGTATTCAAAAAGAATTATTCTCCACTGCTCTTTATCTATTTTTTTTTCAGTAATTTATCATATAAACTATTTTGAACCGATTCTCATTGTCTCCCTCTAATAAATAAATCTTGATTTCATGAATCTCTATGTCTCCAACTTAAGAATCTTGATTATTTAGACCTAAATAATAATAATAAAAAAACTAAGAATTCACGCAAATATTCATGTTTTTTTAGGGAATTCCTTCAATGGAGACGCTATCTTCATCTACCTCAATGTCTTTTCCACGAGAGCCAGCCAATTATGACGAGATTGCTATGCACGAAACGTTACTATTTTCGGAAAGTCTCAAGGCATTCATCTCTTTCTCTCTCTCTCTCTTCTAGTTTCACAATTATCTATAAAGAAACAAAATTAAAATCACAAAATATATCCCATGTAATTTAATTTTATCAGGATTTAACAAATTTGAGAAAGCAATTATACTCGGCCGCTGAATACTTTGAACTATCATACACCAACGATGACCAAAAGCAAATGTGAGTTTGACCTAAAAAGTCAACATTTTTTTTTTCAAGATGTAAACGTTGTAATTTAATTAATCTCAAATTTTTATTTATAAACTATACTATGAATCGGTTGACAGGGTGGTTGACACATTAAAAGATTATGCCATCAAGGCTATAGTCAATACAGTTGACCATTTGGGCGCTGCTTCAAATAAAGTTGACAATATTTTTGACGATAAAGTTGAAGAAGTTTCCGGATCAGAGCTTCGAGTATCTTGCATTGAACAGGTACTCTTTCATTTTGCCGTTCTTTACGATCCATTGATTCTGATATGACAGGTTGTACTGTGTCTGATATATATATATTGGACTGGGACCGAGACTGATATTAGTTAGACAAAAAAAATTGCAACTTTTTGTCCCATCCAAAAAGGTATACTCGCGCTTTCTCGTTTGTGTAAAAGACGTAAATGCCCTCACCCTGTTCGTTGAAAATAGCCGTAGAAAGCTTATCCAGTCTCGTCTTCTGTATAAATTTGACTACACTTAGTGTCGATTTTTGAGTTTGTTGAAAATGTGAAATTCATTTTCATCCTTTTTGGTTAAAATACGCGTTATTTTTGTGTCTAATTTTGAATTTTTTTTTTATTAATGTTGCAGCGAGTAAGAACATGCCATGGCTATTTTGATCACGAAGGCGTTTCTCAGCAGTCGTCACTTTTAAAAATTCCCAAGTATCATAAGCGATACGTCTTGCCGGGTACTTGTGGATCCAAATTAGTTCTAAATGCAAGAAATAGCAACATACTTTCATTTATTTGTTAATTATAGCATCTAACTTTCATATATATAGGTTGATTTTTCGAAGTATAATGTTCTGAAATTAAAATTCAAAGTTTTTTCAAAAGCATAATGTCTTAATAAGAAAATGATTAAGAATGCAATGTTGCAATAAAAGGAAATGAAGGTAGGATGCTATAATACACCAATACATGAAAGTATGCTTCCACATCTTGCAATATAGCCCCATGTAATATGGCTTAAAAACATTCCAAAAATGTGGAATTTGCAACTTTCATGATGCTTTATGATAAAATGTTCAGTTGGGGAGATGATTCAAGATGGCAATGGAACTATATTAAAGCATGAAGAATGCACATTAGTTGAAGAACATGAACATGAACATGAACATGATCAACATGAACATATGAATGGTAAGAATATATTATCATTGTTTTGACTTTTGATGATGTACATTCTCTGTTTATGAACTCCAATGATTGTATCTTATTGTTTTCTTTGATTCCTTTTGGCATACAAGAAGTCGTTCAAGCTATAATTCATGAAAAGCCTGGAACTTTAGTCAGGTAAACTTTTGATTAACTTCATAACATTAAGTTTATTCCCATTAAATACTTATACTTTATTATACTTTTAGTATAATAATTATTTTTAATATGCAGAAAAGAGCAATCTCCTTCTTCTTCTCCTTCTCCCTCTCCTTCTCCACAAGCTTCCCAACAACCTGACTCGTTTTCCTTTGAGGACATGGTGACAAGAAAAGATTTTGGTTTGTAACTTTGTATACATTAATTTCGCATATAATTTTCTTTGTGCATGCAAATGTATTTTTACTTAATTCTTTTAAATGGTGTTTTTCAAAAACACATAGTTTATGGTGAATCAGAGAAGAGAGCAGTTTCACCACCTCGGTTTCCTCTATTGCATACTGAATCATTCTCAAGTAGATCAAGATCAAACACTCCAAATTCAAGATCTTCCACTCCAAATTCCACTAGACCAACAACTCAAACCACATTTCCACAACAATGGGTAAACTACATCAAATCTTATAAATAATTAATTAATGGTAGTGATTTCAATGAAGGGTATTTTAGACATTTGACAAATATATGGTGTGCAGAATCAAGAGCCTAGGAAGTCAGTTTCGAAGCAGAGGAATGGTGATCGAGAGACATGGAAAGAAGGTGATCAAATTCAGAGCAAAAGCAAACGTTTGCTCAAGGCATTGCTCAGTAGGCGTAAGTCAAAGAAAGATGAAATGCTTTACACTTATTTGGATGAATACTGAGGTGAAAATTAGAGGACTTTATGCAAAAAACAATGTATAAATATATATATTTCTTGTTGAATTCATTTATAAGTGGCTATAATGTTAGGGTATTTGTATTTCTATGGTTTAATAGCTGCGTTTTGCACATTAGTATGTGTAGATGTGATTGATTAGAAGGAATAAGTATAACTAATTAACTATAGATGTAGAGGTTAGTGTATTTCGTGAAGTTATTGTTAGGGAAATTACAACATTTTAATTGAGATATTTTTGTTTTTGTAGTAAGCACACAATGCTATAACAATTTTTGAGTAATAGAATAATAGAATGATAGGATGAAATTTAAGGGTGTTTGTTTCAATGATTTGTTTCGATATGGTCAAATGAATTTGAAATTTTGGTTTTGAAAATATGGATTTGAATAATTCAAATTAAATTAAAATATGATATGAGTAGAGACATTCCAAAACATCCTTCCTAATAAATAAACAACTTTTTGTCACTTGTCAATTTCTTATTCATGTAGATACATGTAATTTTGTGGTTAATTTTTAGAAATTAATTTTCACTTTGTCATTTTGTGGTAGTTTTTGATTTTTTTTAATTAATTATCTAATTTGTTGGTTATAGAAAGTAATTAATGTTTCATTAATTTGTTTCCTTATATTTTCAAATTTTAATACGTTTCCTTCAATATAAGTCAAAATTGACATGTTCCTTTTAAAGTTCATTGTCATTTTAAGCAAAATGGAATATATAAAAAAAAAATAATCAAACTTTGTTGCTTTTTATTGACAAACTAAAAAAATGTTATATGGTCAAAATATAATTATTTTTGTGTAGTTTGTTTTATTAATATAAATTGAATTATTTATTTATTCATCATTTTGTTTGTATATATATTTAGAAATTTTATTTTAAAAAATACTTAATGTTAACACTTTGATATTTAATGTTTTCTTCAAAAAAAAATATTTAAAGTTTATATCTTCATATATAATTTTTTTAATCAACCCGTGTATTACATGGGTTTCACACCTAGTAAAGGTTAATATAACAAAAGATTTTATATATTGTGTTTTTTCATGATTAAATGTCAAATTTATTATTATTTTAAAAAGATCTTGTATTTTATTATTATTATTTTTATTTTTCGATTTATCCCTTGTAGTAGGGTTTTTTTTTATCCCAAACCATAAATTTGAAAGTAGGGTGAGAGGACTAAATCCGAAAATTTGAAAGTTGTTGGACTTGATCCAAAGAAAATGACAAACCTGAGGGACCAATTTTGCAGTTTACTCTAATCATATATACTTATAAAGCTAATATTTTTTATTGAATCTCGTTCATTTGAAATCATTTTTTCTAACTTCATCAAACCACATTCATTTGAAACCCTTTTTTTTTTTAACTAATGCAACTCAAAAGTTTTCCTAATTATGATTTAACACTCGAAAGTTTTATAACTTATATTATGTTTAGTTAGCATTTAGTTAAAATTGTACTATAAAAATGTCAATCTTTTGGGAAGACATGCATACAAATCATATATAAATTTTAGAAAGAAAATAAACTTAAAGGCTTTTGTGTTGGGTTGAGTTCTTATGACGATTTTTGGAGATATGTTCTTATATTAGAGCTTTTAATTTGTAAGTTTGTTATACTAATTCATTTTTATATTTTCTTTGTTTTTGGATTATTGTAACACAGTCGTTGTATATTGTGGTTTAATCATTAATATATTGATCATATGTTATATAGGGTAATGTCGAAAATATTTAATTAAATAATTTAAATATATTTTTTTTTGTAATTGTATTGTTTGAAAAAGATAATTAATCAAAACTCATACATATGTAATATTTTCCATCTCTCTCTCTCTCTCTCTCTCTCTCTATATATATATATATATATATATATATATATATAATACACATCAAAAAACTTCAACCAAAATTCATTTAAAATCTAATATTTCAAATGTTTTTTAATATGATTATAAAAATTTCAACATGTGTTACCTAATTGATTTATTAATAAAAATATTAATGTTTTGAAACTCTTAACTCTTAAACTTATATTATTTAATTTGTTAGTTAACTAAAATATTTTTGCTACATAAAGATAACATTTTTATGTTTGGTTACTCATATATATTTTTTTCTATAATTAGAAAACAAGGTGTACATAGAATGACTATTTCAATTTCACATATGAATCGATACCACTAGAGAGGTATGATGTCTTTAACTGGTGGTAGGATATCCACATACCCTTTTTAATTAGGGTTATTGTCACTCTAACCTAACAAACTTTAGTATATTGGTTTAAATGATTCATCGTAATAATATAATCATACGACACCTTCTTATATGTAACAACTCCATTGACCTTCTAAGAATCTTACATTTAATATATATATATATATATATATATATATATATATATATATATATATATATATATATATGTGTGTGTGTGTGTGTGTGTGGTATAACTTTAGAACCATTTGTGTAAATCCTTCCTAATAAATGAAAATAATTTTGCCATTTATTAATCTCTCATAAGTTTTGAAACTTATCATTTTGTGATACTTTTGAAATAAATGTTATTCACTTATCAATTTCTAATTTTATTTCAAATTTTAAAATTAAATTTATAGTATTAAATATAATATAATATAATATAATATAATATAATATATATATATATATATATATATATATATATATATATATATATATATATATATATATATATATATATATATATGAAATTAAATTGAAATGAATATGTTTTTTTCTTTCTTATTTTAAAGTTCTATATTTAAAAATATTACTACTTACACTTTAATGTTTAATTTTTTTTAAATTAATCCGTATAAGATACGGGTCTCATACCTAGTTACTTTAATAATAACAGTAGTTGCCTCTTACTGAAGAGGTTTGTGATGCGTTTTCTAAATGTCAAATATCTAGCCCTTTTACGTCACATATATTTTAAAACTTTATCCTTTTCATAATTTAAAAGGTTGTCTATTGTCTTTGTGATATACATTTTATGGTACAAAAATGTACATTCTTAATAGATAGATGAAGAAAATTACTTATCAATTTTCATTTTATGGTACATTCTCCATAGCTCTATCGATCATTTGTGTAAAATTCTTACCACGATTCTTTTCATACTTTCAAAACAATTGATACTTTCAATTAAACGTATGAAATCTCACTTTATCACGCTATATGACTCGTATACTTTCAATAATTGAAATAATTCATACTTTCAAAATAATTGATACTTTCAATTAAACGGCATAAAATCTCATTTTATCACGTTATATGACACGTACTTTCAATCAACAATAATCCATACATTTAAAATAATTGGTACTTTCAATTAGCCACATATGAAGTCTCACTTTGTCATGATATATAACTTCGTGATTCATACTTTCAAATCGGCGCACATATTCATTCATTTTAATTATTATCACCATACTTTCAAATCACAAACGCATATATATTCAGTTTGGTTTAGGTTTTACTTAAAAAACGTCAGCCAGATAAGTTTTTTTTGATTCTTTTGATTAGTTTCGGGTTTTTACACTCTTAATATAAAAACCCAACCACACACATAAATCACAATACACTAAAACACCTGCAAAACAAGAAGCTAACTTCACTCTTATAAACGCTTGTAATTTAACAAAAAAAAAAAATCCATTATGCTCCTATAATCAAGAAGCTAAATTCCACAAATACCAAGTTATACAGTTCCACCTAATGAGCACACATGTGACATGTCATAGTTCCATATCTTTACCAAATTGTTCAATTGTCTTCGTTGCTAATGTCAAAGCATCCATAAATGCACTAAAAGACGCCCGAAGAAATCTAGCTTCAACTGCCTCAAAACGCCTGCAATGTACACACACACATTTAAAATCTTTCTCTCAAGGTTTAAAAACCAAATCTTGCATTCTATCACAAACACAAATAAACTCACACTGAAAGTTTCCCATTAGAGACAGACATCAACCTCCTTACTTTATCTGGTTGCAGCTGCAATTGAAAAGATAAAGATAGTAAAAGCTGACATGACATGACTGAACAGTTTATACTGTTTGATATGCATTAGACTGAGATTGAGACTTATGTGAATGAACAAATGGTGAATAATCATATAATGCAATACCTCTTTGTCAACATTGAGTGTTGAATATATGATGCAAGCGTTTTCCTCAGACTTGCAATCCACTTCCACATCACTGCAGACGAAAAACTTATAATTTGGATAAACAAGAAAACCATTTGTGTTGAATATCTTTCATATCCTGTTTTCATAATAAAGCAAAAGGTTGAATATCTTTCAAAAGCTAAAAAGAAAGAGAGACTAACCAGGTGAAATCCCACTTATTGAGATTCTTTTCTTGGGCATCTGTTTCCATGGTAGAAGTCGCAACATCCATCTTTAACTCTGAAACTGCAATAAGAGAAGCGATTATAATCACTGCTAAACAACACTACATTAACAAAAGGAAAGAAAAAACATTGTGTTATTAAGTAAAATTGCAAGCTAAATGACTTCTATCTATGGATAATAAGATAAGAAAAGAACAAAAAAGGATGCAACATGAAGTTTTGGAGATTTGGGAACTAAAGTTTAATTTCAGAAAATATAAAATAACATTTCATTAAGAACCCTTGCGCTTTGAAGTTGCAGTATCTTGAAGAAGCGAATTGCAACTTTAACTTGCGGTATCTTCAACAAGCTCATTGCCGCTTGAACTTGAACTTGTAGTATCTCCAATAAGCACTTTAGTAGATTTAACAATCGCCTTTGCAGCTAGAAAAATTGTTGTGAGAAGGAGATTGTCATCAGATGAGCTGGATGAAGATGATGAGAAAAGGGGATTCTTTTCAAAAACATATTTGCTGCGTCTAGGTGACGGATCCATTTGACTAAATAGGTAAGAGAGAAAATATAATTAGGTGTGAAGTGAGATTTGTGAAGTGGTATTTATATGAAAATATTTAGGGTTAAAAAGAAAAGGCATATAGGATATAGCCATTGCCAATGTTCAAAAGAAGAAGATAGAGGAGAATTTCTAAGCCCGACATGGCTTCAAATGTTCCGGAGCCAGAGGCAACCTGCCTCGATTCCGTGCACTCGTAGAGACATTTTATCGAACACTTTATATGCGTCAATTGTATCAATGAGTTTCATATTAAGTATACTAAAGATATGGCACATGTAGAGATGTTAGCACGAGAGAGTCGAAGTGAATATGGATTTCTTACCGGCGAAGACGACGACCGGACCTGAGAAGTGCGTGCGCGGGTAAACCAATTCAATAGACTGATGCGAATATGGGTTTCCGATCCACTTCTATATCGGTTTAACTTGTCCTCTTGAGCTTAAGTTGAAAAAAACTCAACTGTTTTTGAATTCATCTTTTATATATTTAGTGATTTTTTTTCTTAAATGACATATTTCTTTTTTGAAAATAATGTCAGTGAAATTAGGTAATATAAATATTTCTTTTGAATTTAAACAAAATGAAAAATAATAATTATCATCTGAACACTCCATATAACTCATTTTAGGACCCATGTGAGAGATTAATTGCAAAAGACTAAAAATATTTTTTTTACTAAAGTATCATCATGTATGAAATTTTTGTACTTTAATGCCTAGACTCTCATCGTAGGATCATTTTGTTTTGTTTTCTTTGGAATACAAAAAGATAAGTTCAAATCTTTTTTAACTGCATGTTCGAATCTCTAATTTTGAAAGTTTACTTTCTTGATTTTTGTTCCATTAAATAAAAAGTTATTTATGAAAAAATATATATATTTTTTTTGTAAGTTTTTGATATTTGATTAATAAAAACATTGCATTAAAAAAAACTAAAATGACCATATATGGAAGGCTCGTATTTCAAAATGATCTTGATGTTTGTTCCATTAAATAAAAGGTTATTTATTAAAAAAAAAAAAATTTGTAAGTTTTTGATATTTGATTAATAAAAACATTGCATTAAAAAAAAAACTAAAATGACAATATATGAAAAGCTCGAACATCATTTCAATAAGGCCAAATGGTATACCTAGGAGGGTAACTATCTTTTATCCGTGTTCACATATTGGCAAGTTCTTCTTTTTTGTACATAATAAAGCAACTAACTTGTTTTAACTGTTTAAATTACACAAATATTACCGGCTAATACATGTTTTAACCGGTAACTCAAAGGAAAAATGACTTAAAAGGGTAACTACCTCTTATCCGTGTTCACATGTTGGCAACTTCTTATTTTTTGTACATAAGAAAGCAACTAACTTGTTTTAACTGTGTAACATCCCAAAAATCATGACCAAAAATTTCGTTTTTAATTTAATACTAAAACCATAATTGTCAAACCATTAATTTAATACTTCAACATCGGGCCCTGCCCGACATCAGGCCTTACCTGACATCGAGCCTCGCTTGATATACAAGTCTGTCTCCGGGTCCCGCCCGCTAAACACATACAATCATATAACATGCTAACACATAAAGAAACATACTCTACTATATCTATGTCCTAAGAAACATACTCTGCTAATAATGAGATACGGAACATCATCCGTACTCAGCTAGTGATGAGATATGGGACCTCGCCCACACTCACCTCCTTACCAGGCACATACAAGTATCACACAGACAACAAGTATAATCTAGCATGCAAACATTCCTCGGGCACCCGCCCAACATCGGACCTTGGTCTGGAATAACATACTAGCATACAATACCTGGGGCTAACCCCCGGGTCTTCCTACTCATAGACTACATGAGCTGACATTGTGGCCTTAGACCCATTCACACAGTGAGGAGACTCACCTTGCACTGCTGAAGCCCTGGCTGGAATTAGTTGAGTACGAACGAAGTTTCGTATCTCATTATTAGCAGAGTATGTTTCTTAGGACAGGGATACGGTAGAGTATGTTTCTTTATGTGTTAACATGTTATATGATTGCATGTGTTTAGTGGGCGGGGCCTAGAGAGAGACAGATCTGTATACCGAGCGGGGCTCGATCCCAGATGGGGCCTGATGTCGGGCGGGGCCCGATGCCGGAATATTAAATTAATGGTTTGACAATTATGGTTTTAGTATTAAATTAAAAACGAAATTTTTGGTCATGATTTTTGGGATGTTACACAGTTAAAACAAGTTAGTTGCTTTCTTATGTACAAAAAATAAGAAGTTGCCAACATGTGAACACGGATAAGAGGTAGTTACCCTTCTAAGTCATTTTTCCTTTGAGTTACCGGTTAAAACATGTATTAGCCGGTAATATTTGTGTAATTTAAACAGTTAAAACAAGTTAGTTGCTTTATTATGTACAAAAAAGAAGAAGTTGCCAATATGTGAACACGGATAAAAGATAGTTACCCTCCTAAGTCATATTCCCTTTCAATAAGGCCAAATGGTATACCTATAACGACGAGGTTTGGGGTCGAACTGGCCACGAACAACGGGCGTGCACACCACCTTGTTGTTTTGTGGTGGCTCGTTTTCATGGTCACTCGTGTTCGGGACAATGGACTCGCATGACCAATCCGATTGCAGCTCACGATTTGAACGTTACACTAGTTGTTGAACGGTCAGTTTCTTTAAAAAAATTAAACAATTTATTTACCTATAAATACAACATTTTTACTCTTTATTTTTTACACCATTCTTCTCTATCTCTATACACAATCTACATACTAAATATTCACAACCAAAAACCATTGATCTCAACTAAAATACCCTTCCAAATTATAGAAATCATAAACCCGATAACGCATTTGCGTTAGACAACACCTCGCCAATTCCCGATTATGGAGTCACCTCAAGGTGGTTTTCTCAATCTACTTCAAACCGGTTCACCTATCCAACAAACACCACTTTTCCAACAACAATATCAACATTTTCCGTCTTTCCAACAACAACAAATTTCACAACAATACCAACAATTTCAACAATTTCAACAACTACAACAACTCCAACAATAATCATCACAACAACAACGACCTCCAATTTCACAACCACCAAGCTCAGAACCACCACTTTCGCAGATTTTGTTGCGGAAACGCAACCTTCACCACTACCTCAACAAAAAAAAAAGGGTTCCATGGACAAAAGAAGAAGAAGAAGAAAAGTTAGCGGAGGCATGGTTGACGGCTTCCGAAGATCCAATTGTAGGAGATAGTCAGCCTTACAGAAGTTTTGGGGAGAAAGTTTAAGTCATTTTCTACGAGTTAATGGAAAGCGAAAGTCGAAACGCCAATCAAATTACGTCGAAATGGCGATATATTCAACTAAAATGCACCGAGTTTGGAGGAATCTACAACAACCTCCTAAACATACACAAAAACGGCTTGAATGATTTTGATGTTTTTTATGGCGGCCAGGGACCAATTTGAAAAAACAACAACACGCAAAGCTTTTCTGTATATGAAATCATGGCTAAAAGACGCCCCAAAATGGAAAGAACAAATGGAAGGTACTTCGCAATCTTCCGGTTCAAAGCGTTTGAGATACCTCGATGCAACTTCTCAACAATCCGACAGACCAACACACATCGACATCAACGACGATCCGCTATATCTTAAAAACGACCAACCTCTTCGTCGGCCTGTTGGAAGAAGTAAAACAAAAAAGCGGCGTCAACATATTCGAATTCTAGTGTTATGGATATGTTTGGCGATAAATTTGATCGATATGTGCAACTTCAAGAAACGAAGGCCGAGGTGATGACTCGGATGGAACAAAAAATGATCGAAGCACAATCATCATTTCAAGAGGCACAAGCGACGCTCCAAACAGAAAACGATATGGAAATCTTGAAAATGAAAGCGTACGACCTCGAGGGCGACAACTTGGAACTTTTCCTAGCGATGAAAGAGTCGGTTCGAGCTCGACGTAGGCGTATGGGGTAGTTTATTTTATTTATTGTTGGAATTTTTAGTTTTTTTAATGCTTTTTTTTATTTTTTTTTAATTTTAAGTAATGTAATTTTTATTTTTATTGTTAGTTTTTTTTTTCCAATTAATATAGTTTTTATTTAATGTAATTTGGTATTTTAATTTAATGGAAAAACTAGTATTAAAAAAATGATTTTAATGTATTTTTGAATTAAATTTAAATAAAAAAATAAGGTGGAGTGATCTATTAGTGGTAGGTATCTATGCTAATGGTAGGAGAATATATAACGGATGGTCTAATTATCATAAAATGATAAAATGACCGTTTATTTTGTGAATAACGATCCATAAATGCACAAGATCAATTTTCCGTAAAAAATTGAGTTGTGGAAAATTTCACAAACTACCTTTATTTTTGTAGAGCAGTCATTTTTTAAACAAAAAACAAGTTGTTAAAGTCTTAACGAACAACCTTTATTTTTTAAAATAGTTACTATTATGAAAGAAGGTTAGTTGTTGAAGATTTAGCGAACTACTTTTATTTTCATAGAAGTCATTAAGTTGTGAATAATTCAAGAAATACCTATTTTTAGCAAACCTTTTTCTTTTGAAACCCAAACCCTCAACTTGTTCTTTTGTTTATTCACCAACAAAATGAGAGGGATCTGGGAACAACCTTTGTTCTATGGATTTTGATTTCAAGAAGCAGAACTGGATTAGAACTTTTTCTCATGTTCTTTGTGATTTCTAGATTTGTGAAAAAGATGAAACTTAAGAGATCTTGATTTGTTTTTGTTTTCAATTACAGAAATTAAAAGAGGTTGAACTCAAAGAATCCATTATCCATAATTTTGAATGACTTCCTTCTAACATCTAAAAAAATCTCCATCTTTCCTATCATTGTACAAAATTAGAGACAACGGAAGAATATCCCTCGATACTCAAAAAATTGCGAATGCACAACTTTGTAGCCATTTTAATGAAATAGCTCTTAAATAAATAATATTGTGGGTCTCATATTTTAAACACAAAAATTATCCAATTCTTTCATGCAATGCCATATATAATGTAGAATATTCCATTTCCGAAATGGCATATTATCACACATGCTACTTAAACTTTTTAATTTAATAATTTATGTTCATTACACAAGCCAAGTTCCCAAGTCCCAACCAGTCAACCACCTTCGTCAATCATGAGCATGGAGAAGAATCCCACGATATTAAGTAAACACCAGGTAACATCTCTCTCTCTCTCTCTCTCTCTCTCTCTCTCTCTGTTTTGTGTTATTTGATGACGTGAAACTGCGACCATATGGCTATTGCGAACCTTTGATTTAGAAAACACAAAAGTAGGAAAGCATAGGTTTCGTTGTTGTAGTCTGATTCATATTTAGGTTCTTGTGAATTGTTATCGGCCTCACGCAGTATTAATTGAATGATCAAGTTCAGAACTCTTATGGGTTGCAGTCGTTTGATTTTGGAATCGAATCATCAAATTCAACTTTAGACTGTCGATTGAACTTGAAGGTGCACATGAATCCCTACACATATAGCACATACAGCTAGAAACGAATTGTAGTTGACAGGTTTTCTCAATCTGTCATTTACAAGTTCGTACAACATCAATTCGTGGTGTTCTTTCTATAGGTAAATACACGTTGACAGTAAATGCACCATATTTGGGAGTAAAACTAAAACCCTAAATTTTCTCAAATATGTCATTTACAATAAGTTTGTATCATATTCTCAGAAAAAACGCCACAGTTAGGAGTAAAAACATGCTTTAATTAAACACCATCCCATTTTGTTTTTATGGATTCTATAAGAATTTGGTGATTTGACTCAAAATATGAGCAAGAGTAATTTACAACATTAAGTATAATCAGGAAAAAGCAAGAGTGATAGTGTATCTATAGGACTCCCTCTAGCTGGATTAATTGCAGTTTGGTTGGATATAAAATACTCGAAAATTATATGCTTTTGGGTTGAATCCCATTGCAACTCAAAACTCCCTCTTGTATATGTTTCTATTTGTTATAACTTATAAAGTTATATCATTCATCTTTTCTGCACTTTGTTGAGCCTTACATCAATATGTTCAGTAAACTACCTGCATGGTAATTTGGTTTTGAGTGATTAAGATTATTAGGTTAAATACACTAAACTTATTAAAGAATGAATTTGATTGCTTACCCACATAACATCATCATCATCATCATCATCATCATCATCATGATGTGAGAGCAGTGCCTACCCTGACTGGCCTTATGCGTCTAGGAACTTTTCTTATGTACTCAAATAATAAAACAAAGATGCTAAATATGTATAGCATGATGCTTCTAAGAGTTCCATTAGTGATTCCTCCTTCTGACTTAGATCCACTAGAGGAAATCCAGCTCATTGACCAGATACCTGAGAAAAACACACACACACACATTGGTTTATTATTTACCAATTTTCTGTTTGCTTCAGTTATGAATGTAACAATTTGTGTTCCATGAGTTCTACTGCAAAGAGGGAATGGAATAAGAGCATTCTGGTTATTTTTTATTATAACTCAAAATTACATCAACTTGCATCATCTTTGATAAGAATAATGCTTTTACTTCAACTCAAAATTATTTTTTATTCTCATAATATATATATCTTTTCTTTCTTCACCAACATAAGTTCATTTGATTTTCTAGTTTTACACATAAAACATGTTTAAATGACTCATATTCCATTCCTTCCAAGTCAACCAAACATGATAATGAAACGCAATAATAATCCTTTCTCATTCTCATTCCATTCCTTTGTGATTCCATTCCATCATCCCAAATATAATCTTAATCCAAATTGAAAACTGGATTCTTATTTCCACTTGATCAATCTTACTAGTGCTCTTCCCAGACAAATTTGTCCAATCATGTGGACTTATGTTGCTCTCTGATGCCCTTATCAATTCAAGTAAAGCTTCATTCACCTAAATTTACAATGTTTGCACCCATATCAGTAAAACACTGCATGTATGTATGTTATGTATGTATGCTATGTATGTATGTACCTCTTTGGTCCTCTCATGACTCACAAGATGACCTCCATGAAGTTCAACCATCTTTGCAAGTGGATATAGTTTTTGTGCGAGTCTTCTTGCATGAGATACTTGAGCAATAACATCAGATCTACAGAAATTTAAGCAATCATCAGTTTCTAAAGTCTAAAACTAACACAAAGATATGAAAACAGAGATATATCATATATATGTATATGTATATATACCTGCCATGAATGAATGATATTAAAAAACCTTGTTTTCGGATCATTTCTAGATCTGTTTGTGATAATTTGTGTGTCCAACAAGCATTAATCTGACCATCAAATCCATGATTGGATTGCATCCCACTCGCTGAAATTGCTTTGACATATTCCTGGAAAAATATTTCATAAATAAACAGAATTTGTACAAAAAAAAAGTAGATAATAATTAAATTAAATTCTTACTTGATATAGTATTGCTCTTCTCGTTTCTATTCCAACATATTCTCCAAGATATTCCTGCACAATTCAGTAGAAACATGTCTTCTTTTGAAAATCAGACAAGTTGTGAAAAGTCTAAAATACCCCTTCCCTTAATAAGGAAAAGGTAGATGGTTTGACTTTTGAGTTTGACCTGTGTATAGTGAGTGTCGAGATCCACCGCTGCTCTCTGTGCTGGAGTTTTTGCCATCAAAAAACGAATAGCAATGGAACATGTTTGGCGATCAAGCTGAAGAAATGAAAACAAGTTTGAGACATTAATAAGAACAAAAAAGTGCCACGTCAGCAAAGCTGAAGTGGATCTTTGGAAACATGAGTGTAGTTTAGTACCTTGGGAAGACATTGATAGCCTCCACCAGTTACATTAAGTAAAGCCAAAGACTGAATTCTATCTGGAAATAGAGCAGCCAGTTTTGAAGCAATCATACCACCTACACAATAAAATAAAATCTTAGATTATCAAGATTCAAATTTCTTCAAACAGGCAATGAATGTACTTTCTAGATAAATTTCATAAATAACATAGTTGAGTTGACTCACCCATTGAGTGGCCAAATACATGAGCTTTCTTCCAACCCAAATGCTCCATAACTGCTATCGCATCTTTAGCCATTATACTTGTTCTACACCCAACATTTTAATAAAACTAAATCAAGCCTAAATGTAAAGAATTTTCAAAACCCACAATATAATAAGCAAAATAAACCCAAAAAAGATGATCCGAAATTTGATATCCTTACGTATATTCTGATCTTTTAGTTGGTATAGAGCTACGACCTACTCCCCGATTGTCAAAGGCACACACCTCAATACCTGTACCTGTCTCATTGGAGCTCCGATCATCGTCTTCGTCGTTGGGTTTTACGCTTCCGACGAGTCCCTGGATTTGCGGGTTCCAGGAATCATGGGTCGCAGCTAATCCTGACAAAAAAAAGTCAATTTGATGATGAAATGAGATTATAATCAGGGAAAAGGGATAAACGGAGTTCGAAAATGCCTATGATCGTTAAGAATTCAGTTGGATTGTAATTAGGGAAGAAAGATAAGGAGAGTTATCGGGAGTACCTATGATCATTAGAACTTTGACGGGGCCACCGCCGTATGTTCTGTAAAAGATCTTTATACCACGGTTGATAATTGCATCACCGCCGGTCTGGTATTGTCCGACTTCGCACAGCGGCATCGTTTGTTGCCGGAATTTTCGGAATCGGTAATTTTGCTATCTCTGTGTGTGTGTGAGAGAGAGCGAGAGAGGTGTGTGTCTTGAGCCGCTTCTAAAATTAGTATTTTTAGGAGAAATGATATGGAATTTATTTTATTTGATGTAAATTTGTGGTTGTGGAAATTGTATTTCAGGTTATACAGTATTATTTAACAATATGAATTCACACTATACAACACCAAATTCATATTATCAACATGGGAGAATAACTTGAAAGGGTAACAAACTTTCGAGTTTGTTCACGTTTAGTTATTAAACTTTTTTTCGTTATCTATTTGCGATTGAACTATTGAAACTATTCATATTTTACCCTTATGACCGGCTGTTACCGGTCATAAGGGTAAAATATAAACAGTTTCAATAGTTTAGTGGCAAATAGATAAAGAAAAAAAGTTTGGTGATTAAATGTGAACAAAATTAAAATTTTATTTCCCTTTTAAAAAGTTCAATGGCTAAATGTGAACAAACTTCCTATTGTACTATGTTTTAGCAAATTATTTATTTTTGTTTAATTGTAGCAACATTTGTTGATGAAGAAATCTATGAAATAAAAAAATAAAATGTAACATTCGGATCTCCAGGTATTATAATTGAAGTATTTTTCTTTTGAGTTAAGAAGAGAGACTCGACGAGTTGACGCCTCAACTCATCGAGTAAGGTCGTGACTGATGACTCGAATTAATGAATGGACTCGACGAGTCCGCACTGTTGGTAGAAACCCTAAATCTTTTGGCCCGAGCCATATTTAAAGGCACTTATGACCTTCAATTGCGACTATTTTTCCGATAAGTGAGAACCCTAGCGAGTTTGATTGTGTAGAGTGAGAGGAAGAGCTATCGTGAGCTTTTTGGTGTGATTTTGCAAGAAAGGAGAAGAGTTCCAGCAAGAGGGACCAAGGAAGGTTATTCTTTTGAGTTATTCAAGCAAGGAGCTTCATTCTGAGGTACAAAATTGAACCCCTTTCCTTCCCTATTGTGTAGATTCCATTTTGGGGTTAGGACTTGAATCACTTCATCTTTGGGGTTTTGAATGCCTCAAACCCCTCTTGCAAGTTTGTGTTATAGATCTGGACCCTTTTAGGTCCAGAGAGCCGAGAATATGAAGATTTAGTAGAGTAAACCTTGGGGTTTGAAGTTAGGAATCTGGACCCTTCTAGGTCCAGAGAGCCAAGAATATGAAGCTTTAGTAGAGTAAACATTGGGGTTTGAAGTTAGGAAGCATTTATGGGATTTTTATGGTATATATAGTTACTTTCATCTTACACATAGATATGAAGTATTTTATATAAATTACGTGCTATGTGTGCATATTATTTGAATACTTGCTGTCTATACTGGATGAACGATTTTATACATGTTTTAAAAGATTTAAACGATATATTTATTTGATATCTACAAATATGTTGTGGATGAAACATGGGTAGATGAAATAGTTGGTGTGTGATGAAATAAAATGATGAGAGATAGGTGATGACAGAAAGGTGATGATAATTAGGTAAATAGATGATGATGAACCGGCAATGTGGCGATGTAGTCATCTACCAGAGTATAGATGACAACCACAGACTATTCTAGACAACCCAGTGGAAACACCAGCAGGTCCATAACCTGTAGATGATGAATTACGAGTTCAGGCGATGTTGTAACTACGTATTCATGCAATGATACTCTAACCCCTTACTATGAATTACGAGTTCAGACGATGTTGTAACTACGTATTCATGGGATGTCACAAATTTTGCATGCCAAACCAATGGTCATAATTCACATCAGTGAGAATGGTTCATTTTTTTTTTGTAAAACCAAAATCAGATTGGAAATTTTGATTTTTTATTTTGGAAAATGTCAAATCATTGGTTTTTTTATTTCGGTTTCGATTTTTTGTTTTTTTTAAAATATATTTTCAGGGTTTTGTTTTTTTTTTTTTTTTTCATAGATTTCTTCATCAACAAATGTTGCTACAGTTTAAGAAAAATAAATAATTTGCTAAAACATAATACAAGAGGACGTTTGTTCACATTTAGTCATTGAACTTTTTAGAGGGAAACGAACTTTCGATTTTGTTCATATTTAGTCACTAAACTTTTTTTCGTTATCTATTTTCACTAAACTGTTAATACTGTTCATATTTGACCCTTATGACCGGTAACAACCGGTCATAAGGGTAAAATGTGAATAGTTTCAATAGTTCAATGACAAATAGATAACGAAAAAAAGTTTAGTGACTAAATATGAACAAAATCGAAAGTTCGTTTCCCTTTCAAGTCATTATCCCTAACATTAACACCAAAAGTCAATGCAATAAAATGCTTCTAAAATCCAACCCAAGTCAATCTCATAGTCCAACACCTCACCAATATAGATACCATAACATCACCAAAATACCTTAACACATTAATTGGGTACCTAAGTCCAAATGTTCTATGCATCCAAAGTGAATATACAAGTTCATGAAGAAAGCATGCGCACCACATCAAAGTTAATTCCATTATAAGGAAATTCATTTCAAAACTGCCTCTTGAAGGTACACAATCATACATATAGTATACTTATATAATAGATCGAAAACCTCATACAAGAATATAAAATCATCAAAAATAGATTAGGAACATGTCTTCTTATTACTAACTAACATTTGCACTTATAAGTGAAGTTCACTTGTAGGATAGATAGAACATTTTATTTGGTCATTTTCAAGCTCAAAGTGGAATAAGCTTCCAAAGTGTCAAATTTACTCCAAGTGAACTTAAACCCTCACCAAGTCTTCAAAATTGCCACTCTCCTAAGATCTAAGTCTCTAGATCGTTTTCACTTTTCAGAATGAAAAGAGATAAAGAAATAGGCTTATGTTCTAAAGTTTAGACTTTTGTTACTTTTAGTCCCCCACTTAACATTTTCCACATTTAGCCACCATATAACCCCTAAATCTTGACCAACCATTCTATTTACTAAGTTAACCCCTAAATAATATTTGCTTTGATAAAGTAGTCCGAACAATGGGTTAGTTGCGTTAACTCAACGTTAAACATGATATTTCTTAATATGCCAAGTCAACTTATAACTCTCAAATTCTAAACTATTAATTATATAACTAATTTATTAAATTCATCTGAATTATAATAAATTTTATTATTTTAATTATTGCCTTATTTTAATTATTTTTTAAATTTATCTAATTATTTATTGTTAAGTTAATTATTTTTATTTTAATTTGATTATCTAAAAAAATTCCATTGTAAAGAACAAAAACTGAAGCCCCAAATGCGAGAGTTACATGGGTCATGGGTAAACTTGTAATGTCATCAAATCGATAATAATATTAAATAATTTTGATTTCTTACTTGAAAATGTAAGAATGTGAATGTCAAAGGGGACTCGGGCAATGATGTATTTACGAGTCGTGTATAAAGCAAATTTGATCCAAAAAATAACAAATATAAGAGGTCCAAGGGAAGGGTCGGGCCCACTTGTAGGGTCTAGGGGCAAAGGAAAACCCCTTTAAGACGTAGCATATTAGCATAGAAAGTGTAAATTCGATTCAAGCTTACTCGTTAGTTTAATCAGCTTGGGGCCGACTTTAGTTAGTGATTTGGGACAGACTTAGTTGGTTTGAGGTGCACTTGTTGAATTGGCTTGTTAACTCAAGTTGACAATCATTTTGACATGAATTAACAAGTGTCTAAACTATTTGAAAACATTATTTTCGTCATTCATATATATATATATATATATATATATATATATATATATATATATATATATATATATATATATATATATATATATTATTTGACAATATATGCATATTATCCATATCATCCATATCCAATTATCCATATCCAATGTTCAATATTCAAGTCACAGGTGGTATATCGGGTAAGACAATTAGTCTCTCTGTATGAAAGGTTTAATGTTCAAATTTTGATAAATTGCGTATCGTTAAAGTTTCTATTGTAGTGTCATCCTGATAAATAATATGGTAACTTATTCTATCATTTGCTTTTTAAATGATTATACGCACCATCAAGTTATTAAACCAAATTGATCGTCAATACAGTGATACACCCTTACTTACATTATAAATTACTTTATTGAAAATATTAAATATTTAATTTAAGAAAATTCGGAACTAATATGTGCATCTTCCTATTCTAATAAATAAATAAGTTTATTCTCCTATTGACAAATGTTATAATATTAAAAATCATCATTAATATTATATGCTACCTATCACATGTCAACCTATTAATTCTTCATTTTGAATTTTAAATTTCTCATTCCAATTTCATTAAATTAATAATTGAATAATTGATTCTTCATTTCAAATTTTAAATTCCACACTCTAATATTAAAATAAAAAATAAAATAAAATAAATATATATTATAATATGATATAATTTCATATCTTTATTTAAATTAACGATTATAATTTTATATAACTAAAAAATATCTCTTAATTAATAATTTATTTAATATAATTTATTTGATATAATTGATTAATAATTTTAAGTATTTACTAAAAAAATTTAATTAATTATATAACAGTAATTCTCATATGGTATAAACTAATATAGTTCATTTTCTTTGAAATCGTGGGATACATCAACCAAAACGACAACTCGCGTATCATAAATTTAATATTTTATTGTTTTCCTTCTGCTTTTACCAACATGGTTAAACCGTTAAAGTGTTATGATTAGTATTTATATTATTTTTATATTGTAAGATCTAAAATCATATTCAACATTTTAAATATTTATCTTTTTTTTTTTTTAAGTTGGACTATGGATCGGTCAACATTTGTATTATATAGTTTATTATTTATTTTTTTTGACCTGTTTCCACTAACCCGACTTATTATTTACCAAGTCTACATTAAATAACTATTGAGAGAAGTCAGAGAACTATGTTTATAATTTTTTATTTTTACGTTCAAATTTAATTATATTCTCCGATTTTGTT